CAAATCCTTCAAAATTCTTGAAAACACTCGGATTAATTCGCGATTTGAACCTGTGACACAATTTTTACCACACGATAGCCGGCTGTGTGTTTGCTAGCCCCAAGAACTCCAATTTGGCTATTTTTGGCTCACGCCACCTTTTGTATGTTCGTTTGGGCGGACACGCATTATATTTTGTTTTATCTTGCCGTCATAGAGGGAGAACTAACTAGAACAGCCTATTATAGTTTTCAAATTGCATTCAATATATGGTTAAATGCTTCCAAACAAACTTATGTTCTCAAATGTCTTGGTCGTATGCAACATTATTTGTGTGCCTCTGAATTTTTCTGAGGTTACCTGCACGTAGGGTGGTGAATTTTGGAAATGTCCATTTCTACCAGTTTACAAATACACCAGGCGGCTAGTTTTTTATAATCATTTATCCCATGTAAATTGTTTATGAATTATCAAGGAAACTGTGTACAATTCTGGCGCAGATAACCGATATAACAAGTGATTCGTTGTCCCTGTTACGCAGGTAACAGGGACGCAGAGTGTAACTCATTGGGCAGAAGCAGTCTTCACTATGTTCTACTCTTTTTGCCGGATGCCGTTTAATGGCTGCGCAGTCCGCATTTAATTGCAGACGTTAAACGTACGGGGATAAATTGCACCGTTTGTGTTGGATAGCAGTTTATTAAAGTTGGAATTCGCGGCATTTCGATGTGTTAACTTCTATAATCTGTCCGTGGTATAACGATAGATATGATATGAAATGCGTTTCCTTTAAAAATTCGTTCGAAAAACCGCTTCAAACCCGTTGATGTAGTTTGGCGTCTTAGACCTGATTTGCACTGGCTGCTTGAGTCAAGGACTTTATTGCTTAATTCGCATATGGCACAAAAATGACACTTACTGTCCACTTTGGCGTTGACATCTTCAACTGCATAAAACAGATCGCAAGGATAAGTTGTGCAGATAAATTTGCGATCGAGAGCCACAAAAACACGATGGATTTAGTTTTGCACAACCAGATATATATATATATATATATATATATATACATGCGC